TGCCTAAAATGTTCTCCTTGAACTGGAGAAATGTAGACCCTGTCCTGATAACAGCCAACAACATAAAGAGATGGAAATGCTGTGAAACTTTTCTTTTTCTGCATTATATTCCTGGGAAAGGAACAGGTTCTAAGTGATGCCAGGGAAATGTAATTGCACTGTCAGAGCACAGGAGGGTAAAATAATAGATTGAAACCCAGCAAGTTCTGTACATCTTCATCAGTGGAATGGAAGCGTGATTCAGAGCCAAGAAAAAAAGACACTTCATCAGATTCTCATTTTAGAAGGGTTGGTTTTTCTTCTTTCAAACGCTCATCCATAAAGCAGGAACTAAATCATGGATTACAGGGGTGGGTAAAATAAGGGACTTCATTCTTAGAGATTTTAATGTAATTCCTCCCACTGCTTCTCCCCTCGCTGCTCCGGGGCTGGCGGGGGCTGTGCTCTCCTGTCACCTCGGCCTGGTGACAGCCCTGGCAGCTCCCAGCACATGCAGGGGACGAGTTTTCCATGGGAAAACTCAGAGTCCCCCTTGTCCCGGGGCCATCGCCCGGGATGGAGCCCCTCCCAGTGCCAGGGGTGGCCCAGGAGATGTTCTGCTCTTCTGTGACAGGCAGGAGGAAGCAGAGTGGGGTTTTGGGGACAAAATATTCCTGTGCTTCAATGGAGGAAAGAACCCGTGGGTGCTCGGCTCATCCAAACAGATTTCAGCCATCCGGAGTGGCAGCCTTGGCAATGTTTTCTACCTTGCCTTGCTTTGCTTGCTTCCTACCCTAGTTCTGGATTTTAAACCCCTCTTTACTTGGCCCAGCTTAAAAAGAAGGGTATCCAAGCTGCTGGAATTAAAGCAGCCAACATCCAGCCCTGCCAGTGCACGGGTCCAACAGGTGAAACCTCTGGATAACCGGGATGGAATCTCTCAAATGAACTGGATTACATCCAGATATTCAGCTCTGGCTCACCAGGGAGCAGGGACAGGAGGTGGGGACCTCCTCCCTCCCACCCTCCTGCTCACCCTGGACCTGGGGTCTGTGATCACTGTCCCAGGTGCTGACAGGGACTGGGGGATATGGGGGTGCCCAACAAGCAGGAAGCAGAATTATTCTGTGAACTCTCTTTAATTCCCTATCACCCCCCACAGCATGAGGACCACAGTCCTAACACAGTCAAGCCTTCCTAATTTAAATCTTTCAATTCTGTTGACATTGCTTCTGATCAGGAATTCCTCCTTGCACTCATGGAGGGGCCAGGCTCCTGTGGGTGGCACTGGAGGTGACACACCTCCTGCATGTCACTGGCTGTGAGAAGGATCTGGCTCTCCAGGGCCACCAGCACTTCCATCATGGAATATCCTGAGTTGGAAGGGACCCACAAGGACCTCAAGTCCAGCTCCTGGCCGTGCACAGGACAAAGCCACGGCACCTGTCCTGCCTGGACACTGCCCTGAAGGAATGGCTTTGGCTCTGACAGGTGAGCAGTGCTCCTTCAGCAGCTCTTGCTGGAATTCACTTCCCCACGGCCTCCAAATTATTTCAGCATTGGTGAGGCTGCTGTTCCTTCTGCTGGCTTCTCCAGAGCAGGAATTAGGATTGCTGCTAGAGCCAGTGGTTGAAGCCAAGGTCAGTGGTGATCAGGGGTGCAGGAGCAGGAACCCAAATGCTTCCCACCAGAGCTCGATCCCCACATGCAAAACTTCCCCAAAGTGTCCTCAGCAAGCCCAGGACAGGCAGTGCTCAGGCTGAGTGGATTTCACTCTCTCCTGAATTAAACCAAAGCCTCTGTCAGGCTGAAATCATCACATTGCTCTCAAAGCCTTCCCTGCACATCAATCCCATTAATTGCACACAGTTTTTTGTGGCCAAACCAAAAGAGTTGCTCACGAATTCCTAATAATTTCTTAATCCATGAAAAGCCCCTGTCCCACTGCTGGGAGCTGTTTGCCCATCCCTGGAGGTCTGGGATCGTGTGTGCTCTGCCATGGTGGCACCCATGTCACGAACAGCCAGGGTTGCCATGGCAATCTCCTGTTCCTCCAGAACTGCAGGGCTGAAAAGACACTTCAATCCTCCTGGAACTGGCAAGAGCAGAAGTTTGGAGCTTTTTCTGACAGCTCTGCTGCAGTCTGGGTATTTTTTTAAAGTATGTTAATTAGCACTTAAATAGGTTTTTTTTCCTTAAAGTATGGGATGTGGGGTTTTTATTTTTATGTCTTTGATTCTTCTGCTTTCTCCCCCCTCAGCTTTCGCCATCAGGTTCCAATCAGAATTTTACTGCTCTATTTTTACCTCCTGTCTGTAAAAGCAGCAAAAAGCCCTATTTTTCCCCTCTTGTGTAGAAGAAAAAAAAAAAAGGAGATAAATGGATGTTACATAAATGGAGCCAGGGAAGGAGGTAGGAGACATCCAGCGCTGCTGGATGGGAAGGTTGTGGGGAAAGAAAGGATGGAATAGCTTGGCCTGATCCATCCTGCATTGCCAGGAGTCACTGACTAAAGAAACGATCTCTTCACAACGCCTGGAGATGGAGGAAGGCTGCTCTAGGAAGGGGAAGGAGACCTCTGGCAAGATGTGACCCTGATTCGTAATGGAAAAGTGAGGTTCCTTACAGAAAAATGACACCCCAAAGCCCCCAAAATCCTGTACCCAGTAAAATCAGTGGGGAGTTGTGCAATGAACTCTACTGACACCAGGCTATGGCTTTTACCAATATATTCATTATAGGTTTGGTTTCACAAATGGAGCTGCAAGGGGAAGGGCTGGGCTGGACAATGGCTCTATTTACAAGGGTTTATGGAGCATGCAGGAGGGAATTCTGGAGCCTTCCAGAAAGCTTCAAGGAATGCAGACAATCGTTGTCCATGAGGTGCTTCTGGGCCTGGAGTCTGCTGGGGGGTTGTGGCACATGGGTGAAGAAAAGTGGGGAAATGCCTGGTTTGGGGTTGTGGGTTTGGGGTTGTGGGTTTGGGCTCAGTGGAGGCACTGCTCTGCCCCGTGCTCCCCTCATCCCTCCCCTCCACCTCCATCTGCCCACACTCACTCCAGCACAATCCCAGGCACAAAATGAGTATTCCTCCGTGGCAAGGAACATTTAGACTTTTTTCCCAGAGCTGCCACCTTTCCACAGACCCCTGAGACCTAAAAGTGAGGACGAGTTTCCTTAAAATGATCTCCCAAGCTTGTTATCTGCAATGTCCAGCACAGAAAACATGTCTGGGCTCCCCAGCACTGAATATCCCACACCAGAATACCTCACAGATATTCTGCTGCTGCCCTAATAGCAAAATGTAGCAAATGGAAATCTCTCCATCTTCTGTGAGACAGAATCATACTTTAATGGAATATTCTGCAGTTCACCTCTATTGGTCACAGCAGAACAGAAATGCAGGAGGTTTGTGTTTGGGAAAGGCAGAAAAAAACAGTTTGGCTGCTGTGGAAAAGGTGTTGTCTTTGGGATGGAGGGGACACCAGGAAAATGGCAGGAAAAGGTGGAGGTGGGAGACTGAGACACCTAAAAGTGACTTGAGTTTAAAGGGGTGGTGGGAGACAGGACAATGAGCAGCAGATTTTTAAATTAGACTGCTAAAAATACAGGTAAATGTTGTCACTCAGACAAGTAGAAAAGCAAGAGCTGGCATGAGTGCTGGGGATGGATCCAGTGTAAGTCAGTGGCTGCAGGGTGGGATGGGGGAGGCTGGGGCTGTGCAACCCCAGGGGAGCCACCCTGCCCCTCGTGTGGCACAGGGAACAGTCACCTCCACTTCCAGGAGCAACACCTCAGGGTTCCTGAGTGTCCTGGGTGTGCCTGGAGCTCTCCCAGCACAGCCACCCCACTCCAACACCCCAGTGCCTCCATGGAACTCCCCTGGAGCACTGCAGGATCACCATCTGGGAAATCTCTCCTAGGAGGGCAGGACATCACCTGTGTCCTGGTGTGGCACCCAGGGGCACAGTTCATCGAAGGGAAATGCACGGATTTGTGTCAAGTTTCAAAGGAAAAACACCTTCCCAAGTAATCCTGGCTCCTTGCACTTCCCGTGTGGTGTCCCTGCTCTGCATCATTCCATCTTCTCCTTGCTGCTCCTTAAAATGTGCTCCAGGAAAGCCACCCAATGCTCCCTGGATCTGGAAGTCTGACACACTTTCAAGCACACGGGGGTGGCCTCAGGGTCGGTTCCTTCTTCTGCTGCGCTCAGCTTTTCCTATGGCCCCCTTTGGAGCCTGCCCATGGGATGGGCGTGGTGGGATGGATCCTGGGAGGGAATGCAGAAGTTGGCTGGTCAAATCCACACTTTACCATTCAGGTGAAAATAAAACCTCCCCCACAGGATGATGTCTGCCATGCAGGTTTCAGTGCAGATCATAACCAAGCCACGTGAAATGGAATAAATTAAAATTGTGCAGGCAAGGAGAGGGGAGGAAAGCTCGGGAAGAGCTTCCCTCAGGATTTTCACCTGGGAAAAAATTCTTGAAGACCAATAAGGAAGAAGGATCAAACTGCTGGAGAGGAAATGTTGAATGTGCAGAGAGGCTCGAGGAGAGGGAGGTTTAGCTGGCGCTGGTGGTGGCAGAGTCCCTTGGAAGACTTTGCACAAGTTCAGCAATGCCCAGGTGGGAAAACAAGGGGTGCTCCTCAAGCCCTGAGTCACAGTCAGAAAAAAATGGCCAACAGACTCCTGCTACCCCACAGTCTCGTGTCAAAGGTGGAGTTGATGAAGCAAAAAATAGACATTTTGTATGGTGCTGGCAAATTCTCCCCTTTTTTCCTCAGAAAATACTGTACAAGGATGCTCTAGCTCCCCTCTAATGCCGTAAACTCCATGGCATGGTCATAAGGGAAAAGGAAAGTGAAGCTGGAACACGTGGAACAAAAGGAACAGGACTTGCTTGTGGCAATGCTACGATCAACTTCCTGGGAACGTGGGCCCGGCAGGAGCCCCGTGGGACAGTCAGGGGCCCTGGGATCAGGACAAGTCACGAGGCTGGGCCTCCCTGGAACCGCGGGATCCCAGCCTCCTCCGCGTTGCCATTGCTGTTTCGAAGCAATAATTCGGGACTCCTGGCTATGGGATTATTGCATTAGGAAACAAAACCTTTAAAGCATTAGAACAGCCCTTTGATGTCCCTGCCAAAAGGATGTGGTTGGTTCACAGGACACGCTGCGGCGCAGGCTCCTGCTGCAGGCGCCGGCCGTGGCCGCGTGTCGGTGCCGTGGGATCGGGGCGGGAGCTCTCCCGGGTGCGCATGCATGGCCGCCATGGCGCTGCCAGGACCGTGTGAGCCGTGCCAGCTCTACTCCATGCCGCTGCGCAGGATCTGGTTGGCCGCGATCAGCATCACGCTGATGATGAAGGCCATGGCGAAGGCGCAGATGAGGCTCTTGCGCACGCACGTCTGGCGGTTCTGCTTCTGGGCGTGCACTGCGGGGACAAGAGGGGTGGTCACACTCAGCAGGGCTTCTGTTCCCTCCTGGAGCAGCCCAGGAACCCTCCTGTCCCTGCTGGGACATTCCCAAACAACCCATCCACCCCTCCAGGACTTCCAAACCAGCCCGTCCCAGTCCTTCCCAGCCCTTCAGCAACTCCTCTCCCTCATCATGGCATTTAATCCCTTTAAATGCTCACAACGGTATTTGGGGTTAGCTGTGTATTTCTTTTAAGCTCTTTGTGAAGTTGGAATCATAGAATGGTTGGGTTGGGTTGGGTTGGGTTGGGTTGGAAGTGACCTCAAAGCTCTTCTTTGTCCCATGGGCAGGGACACCTTCCACTGTCCCAGGCTGCTCCAAGCCCCAATGTCCAACCTGGCCTTGGGCACTGCCAGGGATCCAGGGGCAGCCACAGCTGCTCTGGGCACCCTGTGCCAGGGCCTGCCCACCCTCACAGGGAACATTTTCTTCCCACTCTCTGACCTAAATGTCCCCTCTTTCAGTTTGAACTAAGTTGTCTCTAAAGTTCTTTAACAGCAATTATCAACCTTGTGTGAATCCCTCCAACTCACCCAGGTCAACTGGGAATGAATAGAAAATCAAGAAGTGCTCCCTGATGACACTCAGGCCCCCACTGTGACAATTCCCAGGAGTATCCATGGTACATGAGTCACTTTTCCAAACTGTTTTAGGTTTTCTGTGCTTAAGCCAAATCAGATTTATTAAGAACCTTTCCAAGTGAATGCTTGCAGAATAATTGTCAAAAGAGGTGAGAGCAGCAATTAAAAAGCAGATAGTGTTGGGATTTTTAGCACTTGTTCTATTTAATTTCACTTTTTGCTAAGCTCATCAGTGAGAATTCGTGCTGTGACTTAATAAAGCCAGTTCATGTCTCTGCCTTGGCCTCCCCACATCTGAATGTCAGAACCCCCTGAGGTGTTGGGGCACTGTGGAGATTTGTTAGCAAAAGCCTTGAAGGTTTCCCCAGGCAATCCTGGGGTGGTTATGGCTGGAACAGCCCAATTATCACCCCAGCACCACCACCATGGTCACCACCAAACCATGTCCTCAGTGCCATAGCCACAATTTTAGGACATTTCCAGGGATGGGGATTCCATCATTGTGGACAACCCTTTCAGTGAAGAAACTTTGCCTATTTTTTAATCTAAGCCTCCCCTGGCCCAGCCTGAGGCCGTTCCCTCTCCTCCTGTCCCTGTTCCCTGGAGCACAGCCCGACCCCCCCGGCTGTCCCCTCCTGTCAGGGAGTTGTGCAGAGCCACAAGGGCCCCCCTGAGCCTCCTTTTCTCCAGGCTGAGCCCCTTCCCAGCTCCCTCAGCCTCTCCTGGGGCTCCAGACCCTTCCCAGCTCTGTTCCCTTCTCTGGACACGCTCCAGCCCCTCAGTGTCTGTTCTGTCCTGACGGGCCTGGGACTGACCCCAGGACTGGAGCTGTGACCTCAGCAGTGCCAGCACAGGGGACAGTCCCTACCTGGCACAGCCCAGGGGCCATTGGCCTTTTTGGCCACCTGAGCACTGCTGGGCTCATGTCCAGCCACTGGCACCAGCACCCCCAGGGCTTTGCCAGCTCCTCTGTCCCAGCCTGGAGCGTTCCATGGGCTGCTGTGCCATGGAACAAGGGCAGGATCTGGCACTTGGCCTTGCTGACCCTCACCCAATTGGCCTGTCCAGGTCAGTCAGGGAGAGCCAGGAAATCATCCCACACAGGATGGGCAGCTCTGCCCAGCTCCTCCGGGCCTTGCTTTGCTCTTTAGGCTTGGTTTGCCCTGGGAAGGGATGTCCCTGTCACCTTTTCCTCATGGGTGGTCTTATGATGACAGGAGACTTTCAGATGGTTCACAACAATCCCAAAACAAACCTAAAATGAGCCAAGGACAGGCTCCAGGTGCCCATGTTTGGAAAGCTGGAAAGGAGAATATTTTTAGAGTATGTTGGAAAACCCCTTGTTCTGATCCAGTCTTGAACCTCATCAGAAAGCCCTGTATCTGAATTTTGAATCCCAGTTTTCTCTCCCATCACCTCCTCTGGCTGGTGCTCAGCAGTGCCCAGTGGTCCCAGCTCAGTGCCAGAGGCACAGAACCCTCCTTGCATGGGGGAGGGGGGGGAGGGTTGGAGCCATCCTGCCCCGAGCAGGGAATGTGAGTGAGGTCTTGTTGTGTTCTGGGCAGGGAATGAAATCCCCCCTGCCAGCAGCTCTCCCAAATTCCTCACTCTCTGCTTGCACTGTTCTGCTCCTGGATTATTTCTCTGGCTTTTATAAACCACACAGGATCAATGCTGTGGCTCCCTGGCTTTGTGCATGGTGCCCTGGTGCTTTGAAAAGCTCATTCCTGCCCAGCTGTAGTTATTTTTTATGTATTTTTCTGTTATTTCTGTACTTTGAAAGCACTCACAGGCAGCAGAAAAATCACTAGCATTGCTGTCAGGGTAGGGCTGGTGATGGAAACAGCAGCCCAAGGCTGGGCAAAGGTTTATTGGGATAACAAACTCACCTCTTCAGAGGAATAGAGTAAAACGTGCTCGGTGATTTTGCAGAAATGTTCCTGAATTGAACAACTTCTTGAGGGCTCTGTTATAAAATAGAGCCTGAAGGCAGCAGGGTGCAGGGAAGTCCCATTTACTGCTCTTTACCCACTGAAGGGACATCAAACATCCAAGTTACCTACAAATAACCCCAGGGGAAAGGGGAATGTGTGGAGGGGCTGCAGGCCCAGCCAGACCCTCTTGCTGTTTGGTGGGAATGACTCCAGCAAGGACATGGGTATCACCATTGCCCTGCTCCCTTGAAATCCACAGCGAGACAGAGGAGCTGCAATTCCTGATGTCCTGATTCCTGGAATTCTTCCCTCTGTGCTGCCCTCTTGAATATGAAGTTCCATTTAAGCACTCCTGCTTACTGGGCAGGGTTTGCCCTCAGTTCTCTCCTTTCTCTAAATCCATAATCTTTGAGCACAGAATCTGCTTTTCCTGCTGGCTCCCATAGCTGGCATTGTCCCAGGGCTGGATGCCAACATTTGGGTGCCAGTGGGAGCTCTTGTCACCCCTGGGACATGCCAGGGGCTGGATGTGGAGCTGGTTCATTGGACATGGGCAGAGCTTGAGGCTCCTCTGGAGAACTCCTCAACCCTTCCTAGGGGAAAGAACAACCCAGAGGTTTCCAACATCCATCAGACTCACCAGACAAACCCAAATCAAGGCTGGGCCATTCTTCATCTTCTCAACACTCCCAGGACAGGCTGGTGAGGAGAACTCCCCCACTGGCACTGACCACTGGGTTTATCCATTGGGTCAGGCAGGAATAAGCTATTACTGATGTGACAGCACGTGGACATATGACCACACATATGTCCCTCACATATCTGCAAATGTATAACAGGCCCATAGAAAACCCCAGAGAATGCTGAGGTTTTGTCTCACTGGCAGTGATGCATCCAAGGAAGAATAACATGATGGAGAAAAAGGAGGATTCCCACATGTTTCCATAATCCTCTTAAAATATCCCATGAAAACTGCACAAGCCCATTCAAATATCTCATAATAAATTTACTTATTCCCAGAAGACCAAAGACAATCTTTTTTTCCCCCTTTTTCATTAACTAGAAAGTTCCAGTAAAGTTGTCCCCAGAACTCCTCCAGCAGGAACTGGGGTTAATGGGGCCAGGCTGTTTCCAGGTCACCATGCCCATGGTGGGTTTGGGATGTGCTCCCAGCACTGGGAGCCTGCAGGAAAACAGTTCCTCACAAGGACAGCAGCAGTGTATTTATAGTGGCCCTGTCCCAGCCCTGCCACAGGTGAGTGATGGTGGCTTGCTCTGGCTGCCTGGAGTTATTTTTGGTTTAACAGGTCGGTTTGTCATTGCCAAGCTGAGCTGGGCAGGACAGGGGGGCCAGGGGGGAGCTGCATCCCATGGATTTGGGGTCATGGCTGAGGGTGAAACCCTCCTGGCAGGCAGCACCAGTCCTGTAAGCACTGACTGCTGTGCCACCAGTTCTGTGTGCTGAGTGTTGGATCAAGGGAACTGCCAGGAAAAGGCTGCTGGACTGTAAATCTTTGGGAGCACAGTGTTGCTGCAATTTGTCCTTTCCCTGTGTCCCATGAAATCACACAGCACTCACTGTGCTGTCCTGGAGATAAAAACAGAGATAAAGCTGAGGACAGAGCTGTGCCTCTGCCCTGGCCGTGTCCTTCCCCTGGATGTGACATCCTGCAAATGACTTCAGTGTTCACAGGGAGCTGAGGAAACCCCGGACTTGTCCCTGACTACAATACAAATATTTTATTTGGGGTAAATTGTGTGGTGAGAGGTACAAGGTCTGTCATCCACAATGATACTGAAGAACATTTCATGGTCATAAAGATCTTATTATCACAAAATGGCATAATTGTATGACAGAAATCTCATGGATTTGGACTGACAGTGATATTAACTGGACAATACTCTTCATCACCTGAGCCAGCTCACCCAGGCTTGGAGAAGGGAAATATGCAGTGTGAGGAGGGGAATGTCCAGCTGTGGAAAAGGAGAATGTCTAGGTGTGAAGAAAGGGAATTTACAGTGTGGAGAAGGGGAATGTCCAGGTGAGGAGAAGGGAATGATCAGTGTGGAGAAGGGAATGTCCAGGTGAGAAGGGAATGTCCAGTGTGGAGAAGAGAATGTGCAGTGTGGAGAAGGGAATGTCCAGTGTGGAGAAGGGGAATGTGCAGTGTGGAGAAGGGAATGTCCAGGTGAGGAGAAGGGGAAAGTCCAGGTGAGAAGGGAATGTGCAGTGTGGAGAAGGGAATGTGCAGGTGAGAAGGGAATGTGCAGTGTGGAGAAGGGAATGTCTCTGCCCACAGGAGGAGAAAGTTTGGGGCTGCTCTGGGATCCAAGAACACAGCCAGAGGTGACACTGAGTGGAGATCCCCCTTTCACCCAGGTACTCCTGAAAGTCTCTGCTGTGTCTGCTCCCTCAGGAGATCCCCAAACCTCAGTGAGAAGCCCTGGGGCTCATCTTGGCTTCATTCCTCCCCAGAATTAAAGGTCCTTCAATGGGGTGGATGATACCTTAAATATAGATAGGAGCTGAAAGAAATATTTGAATTGCTGTTTGAGGAGTTGAACTAAGAAAGGAAATTCTTTTAGGGTGCAATTCATCCCATCCCAAGGTAGCACCTAAATTAAACTCTAGGAACTCTACCCAAAAGGCATCTCCTTCAGTGCACTAATTAGAAGTGAGTGACCCCCAGGGTGACACCCCAGGACAGCTGACAGCTGTCCCTTAGTGCCACAATCCATGATGTGTAATTCCTGCTATTGAGCCCTGTAGGGATCCTGCTGTTTGAGGGCTGGGAGCTCTGAGGGCACCTGTGGGTCATTCCTGGCAGGCCTGGAGAGCTGCAGGGACACAACCTGTTCTTTCCTGGCAGAAATGCTCCTGTCAGAGCTGTCACAGACCAGAACTGTCCCCTTCCACTGGGATCTGGAGCAAAACTTTGCCCTGTTGTTGACAGTTCAGGTGATCTTTATTCCCTGCTGGATTTGTTTCTGTTCCCAATATCTAAAAAGGGTCTGTTTTGCTTCTAGGTTCTGCCTGGCACCAGCAATGCCAAAACATCCCACGAGAAAAGCTGTTCCTGCTGCACTTTTGGAAACTGGAGCTTCCAAAATGAGATGCTGAGCATGTGGGACCCAGGGTTTTTTCTGGGATGGTTCAGCCAAGCTCCCAAAACCCTGCAGCAGTGACAGCTGGCTCGTCCCCAGGGATCAGCAGGTCAGTGGGCACCAACAGCTCCAGGCAAGGAAGAAACATCTCTCCCTATCCTGCTGCCCTCCAGGAGGAACATTAAAATTGTTGCTTGGCCTGATTCAGAGAGTGCTGCTGCTGCCTCCCTCCTGCAGGTTCTTTAAAATTCAGCTGTGCTCCTCCAGCTTCTCTGCAGTGTTTAACAGAGGGGAGGGGAAGAATGGAGCTGCTGCATCTCATCCATTAGCCAGGCCAAGGACTGGGCTGTATCTTCATCCTCTGCCTGGTGCCTCAGCCTGGTGCCCTTTCAGAGCTGTTGAATTTGTCACAATTCCCCCCACATGCTCTGCAGTGGCTCTACCAGGGCACTCTGAGCTTCTCTGTTCCATTTCCCTGGGCTCTTCTGCACATGAGATGATTTCATGGAATCATAGAACAATTTGGGTTGGAAGGGAACTTAAAAACCATCTTGTTCTTTGGGCAGAGACACCTTCCTCTATCCCAGGCTGCTCCAAGCCCCATCCAGCCTGGCCTGGGACACTGCCAGGGATCCCAGGGACAGCCCCACTCTGGACCACAAGGACCTGTTTGGTTGTTCCAAGCAGCAATGTTTTGGAGCAGCATGAGCTCCTCTGGCCAAGGAAATGAAAATGCTTCTTCTGAGGTGGCTTAAAATGGGGAATGTCCCTGCCAGTGTCAGCTCTGTCCAATTGCAGAACCCACAGCAGATCCCAGTGTCTGATCCTAATTCCTGATCCCCTGTGGCTCTGCTGAAGGAAGGAAATGTTTCCCCTTCTCTGGGTGCCTCCAAGCACTGCTCAGCTCTTGACTTTGCAGAGCTCCTCACGTGTGGAGAGGAGCTGTCCTGGCTGAGGCAGGTCCTGGCAGCTCAGAGCAAAAGGTGCCCAGGGCAGCAGGGCACAGACCTCTGCTTACTGCTGGTGTTACAGTGCAGGACAGGACACGTCCCAGCTGTTCCCTGGAAGCCTTTTTGGGATTTGAACAGAAAGCTGGAGAAGCCCAACACAGCTTGGTAGGGCCTGCCAGTGCCAAGAAAGTCTTTCCATGGTGGGATGAGGGAAATAAAGGTGTTTGTGTAGGGAGGTCCAGCCTGGCTTAGACACTCATCTCAGCACATCCCTCTGCCTGCATCCCACCAGAGAGAGGGGAAAACCCCCAGTGCTTCATCCTTGTGCCTGAAAAAGGATCAGCTTTGCTGAGGGATAGAGGAAATCTGAGGGCAGCTCTCTGTGTGTCCTTGCTGCTCACTCCAAAGTAACTCCCTGCCAGCCCCACGCACCCTCATCCCAGATCAGAGCGAGTTTCACAGACACAGGAAGGGCAGAATTGATCAGAAACCCAGGGGCTTTCTGTCTCACCTTCAAACTCTGTCTGGCAGTTGCCAGAGTTCTCATTCAAGCTCTCCTCCTCGTTGATGATGATGTTCTCGATGTCCTTCATGGTGAGGTGGTCACGGAAGGCGTGGTACAGGATGTGCTTCAGCTCCTCCAGCGTTATCCTCTGCATGTCAAACTGTGGGAGACAGCCCAGTTACACCCAGGGCATGGGCTCTGAGCAAAGCAGCTGTGAGGGCAATGCCACAATCCCCAGCTTGTGTTTTATCAGCCTCATTTCAACACCCTGCTGTGGGTTTTGGCTCTTTGGGCTTGGTTTCCCTCTAACAGTGAATGCTCTAAATGGGTGCTGCCCCTGCCAGCTCCCCTGGCACTGGTGGAGCAGCAGAGAAACCCAGCCCTGTGCCAGGGGTGGCCTTCCAGGCTGGACAGGCAGCAACCCAGTCCATCCCAGCAAAGAGGAAACCCTCAAGGATTCCCCTGGTAGCTCTAACACCTTCCATGAGCCACAACCTTGTTTCTGCCCCCTTTTTTACCTTCCTAACCCCCCGGTTGTGCCTGGGTGGGAAGAACAAGAAGGGGACACTTCCCTCTGAGCTGACTTCTGCTGTAGATCCAGCAGGAAATGCTGTTCTTCCACCAACCAAGTGTTAAACCCACAATTCCTGCTGAGTGTGAACATTTTGCCCCAGAAGGACATTGGACACGTGCAGTTTGTGTTATTAATTAATCCCTGCTAATGGTGCAGCAGAGAGCAGACACACTCTGGCTGCTGTGCAGTGCCAGGGGAGCAGAGGAGTCTCTCTGAGTTTAGGAAAAAAGGAATGGAAATGTTTCAATTCATTATGAGGTTTTCTGAGTGCTGCAGAAGCTCCTCCTCTGTCCACCCCTGGAACTGAGGCCTTACAGCCCCAGAAGGGTTCAGGCACAGCAATCAGGGCTTTCCAGGGCTCCTCCAGCCCATCTGAGCCCCCACCAACCCTCAGGATACCCAACAAGGCCAAACCCCTCTGTTCAATGCCCCAGTGGAGGGAGGGCAATGCCAACTCACAGCTACTTCTGCCCTGGGAGAATGGGGGTGCAGCAGGAAATTCCCATTCCTTCCCCAGCCTGGGGAGAACAGGACAAACCAGGCAGGACAGGACCAGGGGAATGGCTCCCAACTGCCAGAGGCTGGATGGGATATTGGGCAGGAAATGTTCCTGTGAGGGTGGGCAGGGCTGGAGCAGCCTGGGACAGTGGGAGGTGTCCCTGCCAGGGCAGGGGTGGCACTGGATGGGCTTTGAGGTCCCTCCAACCCCAAGCCTTTCTGTGATTCTGATTCCCTGAGGCAGAAAAACCAAACCCACAAACTACAGCAAACCCCAGATTTGTATTGGCCTTGGAGAATTGCCTCTGAGCCAGGAACTGGAAAAGATTTCCAGCAGAAGTTGAACATCAGCCCTGACGAGGTGGAGCAGAGTCACCACATGCTGAGGAGATGCTCCTGCAGGCAGGAAGTGACCACAGGGATGGAATTGTGGGTTTTGCCACATGGATGGAATCAGGAAGGGACTCAATGCCAGGCTGGAGTTTCCCGGGATGAAGACTCCAAAGGGATGCAGGATGGGGTGCTGGGTGAGAAATCCTTGGATTCACCCCCATGCTATCAGCACTGCAGGAAACCACCCAGGAGGGCTGGGAACCCTGGGCAGCTTCACTGCCCCCTGATCCAGCAACACCCCCAGCACTGCTGCAAGGAACCAGAGGAATTATCCCAAATTTCCACACCTTCAGTTGCCAGGAGAAATGATTTTTGTCATGGAACAGGATGTGAAGAGCACAGCTGCTCCCTTTTCAACATTAAAGACAGCAGAGCAGGGCTGGTGAGATTTGTTCATGCACAACAAAGCAGGATGGAAACTGGTGATTAAATCCCAGGGGGATTTGCAGCCCAGCTTTGAACTGGGCACCAAGGAACCACTGGTGACAATGGGACACTCACTATTTTTAGCTGAATCCCTGAGGAACAAGGACAGCAGAAAAACCAAACCCATCAGCCCTGCTGTTCACAGAAATGTTTTTCATCTGGACAGAGCCAGGAACTTTGTCTCAGGTCCCTGTTGTCCACATTGCCTGCAGCAGGGTTGGGACTGCAGCAGGAGATAAGTGAAGGGAATTGGAGAAATTGGTGTTTCTGTGGATGCTGGATAAAACCAGATGGATGTGTGCAAATCTGCCTGCACACACAGGCATAGATGGGAATATTGCAGGGCCCAGATTAAGCAAAGTGCACTTATTTTCCTTCATTAACCCTTTAGAGGATGAATGATTTTGCATCTGTGCAATGAGCAGTGGTCAGGAAGAAAGCCTCAGGCTGAGCAACTCAGGAGTGATGAGAATCCCAGGATGGGTTGGGTTGGAAGGGCCTTAGAGCCCATCCAGTGCCAGCCCTGCCATGGCAGGGACACCTTCCACTGTCCCAGGCTGCTCCAGCCCCAATGTCCAGCCTGGCCTTGGGCACTGCCAGGGATCCAGGGGCAGCCACAGCTGCTCTGGGCACCCTGTGCCAGGGCCTGCCCGCCCTCCCCACCCAAATGTTCCACTGGGATGGAACAATTCCCTCCCGCCAATCCCATCCCCGTGTGGCAGTGGGAAGCCATTCCCTGTGTCCTGTCCCTCCAGTCCCTGATGCAGGCTCCCTCTCTGCCTTCCCTGTGTCCCCTCCAGGCCTGGCAGTGCTGGCAGCTCTCTGCACACCCTCCCTTCCCCAGGCTCAGCCCCAGCTCCCCCAGCCTCTCAGACTTTGCTGCTCTCCCTCTGTCCTGGCATTGCCACTAAAAAGCCTTTGCAGAGTTTTCTGGAGCACAAACACAGACGTGGGGATCAGCTCATCCCCAAATTGTGCCAGCAGTAATGACTTGAGGGGTTTGGGGTCTTCCTGTTCCAGTTAAAAATCTGTCTGGAGGGAAGGAATTGTTCTCTTGACAAATGCTCAGCTGCTGCTGAGCATCTCAAATGTTATGCTAATAAAGAGAGAAATTATCTTTTTTTTATTGTTTTGCTGTCATTTGTATCTTTTAGGAAGTGGAAAAACCTCAGCTGGAATTCAAAACCACCCTTGTCGGCTCATAGGAGCTGGACTCAATGATCTTTGGGGGTCCCTTCCAAGTCAGAACATTCTGTCAGTCTGTGAATTGATGCAGTGATTTCTGGTCTCCTGGCAGGAGCACGGTCCTTGCTCCTGCTCATGCAGGACACCCATCCTCCCTGAGCTCTGTGTCACCCTGGCAAAGTGTCCGGGATGGCTCCAGCTCAGGCCAGGCAGGGACAAGCTCTGCTTGGGCTCCCAAGTAATTCCAATTATCCCTGCTCTCCAACACAGCAATTTCCCTGATTCACTTTTCAATTACTCCAGGTTTTATTGTGGTAATGACAGGAACCAGGGAGCAACTCTTAACTTTTATTGACTCTGTGGGGAGGAAAATGGGGACTGTGGCAAGCTGGAAACTTTCTATAGGATTTATAATTAGGAGAAATCAATGGAGCCGCTTGTGAGCCTTGGAATAATTAGCTGTGAGCAGTGAAACACAAACTGTGCTGAGGCTCAGACTCCAGGTGCTGCCGTGAGTGGGAGCTGTGCAGAGCACCAGGGCAGCTCCTGAGGGAGCCCTGGAGCTGGAGGATGCTGTCCCATGAGATACCTGGAAGGGGAAGCACACCTGATCCAATCCAGCCTGTGGCTTCCTTCTTGACTTAAAATTCCTGCAGGGAATGAATCCCCACCTCAGGTCCTTGAGTCTCCCTAATGGAAATTTCCCAGATTTGTGTCAGCCTTGCCTGCAAAGCCCCATTCCCAGGTAGTTCTGTGTCCTGTCTGGCCCAGGCTCCTCTGCTCCTTGCAGGAATGGCCCAATGGGAAGGGCTTGGAGGAGTTAAATACTGAAATAGCACTTCTGATCATTTCATAGCAGCTCAGCTTTAAAACAAACGAGTGGCAGGCTCCTCTCTGGAGCCCCAGGGTGGCTTTGCTGCCCTGCAGGTGGCTGAGGCCAGGGAGACCCTGTAGTGACAGGAGCAGGGCCAGTTTGGGGACCTGCAGGGTCTTTTAAAGCCACTTTGTCAACAAGAGGTGGGACTGGCTGCTCTAGCAGGGAGGGTTTAGCTGGATTTCCCACATAAACCACCTCAGATTTATGGTCATGTGGGGCTGTTGAGGGCTCCAGGTGGAGCAGGATTTTGCCTCATGTTCTGAAAATTAATCCTGCAACCTCAAAAGCTTCAAAGCATCAGAGAATCATTTAGGCTGGAAAATATCCTTGAACCGTGGGCCTGACCCCAATTCAGCACTAAGCCAGGCCCAAAAACACCTCTGCAGTGACCCCAGTTCCAGCATTAACCACAGCCCAGAGCACCCTGCCTGTGTTTCCCTGATCTCTTGTTTGGGGCAGCCCTGCACAATCTCTGAGTAACAAACAAAGCTTTGTTTTGCCCCCAGACTTTCTGCATGCCTGGAATAATCCCAGGGCACATGCAGAGGGGCTCTGCCCACACTGCCACAATGGGGACGTGGCCCCAAAAACACCTGGAGTGTGCAGAGCAGCTGGGCTTTGTGCACGTGTACAGGTTTATTTGTATATTTGTATATGTATGTATGCACATGTATAGAGAAACGTGTATTATCTTGTTATATATTATTATTGTTGTTGTTATTGTCATTGTTATCATTACTATTAGTTACTGTTGTTGTTATTACACTTTATTATTATTATTATTTTTTTTTATTATTATTATTATTATTACTACTACTATTGTTGTTGTTGTTACTTAGAGGGATGAAGCTCCTCTCCTGCAAGGAAAGGCTGGGAGAGCTGGAATTGTTCAGCTGGAGAGGAGAAGCTTTGGGGTGACCTCATTGTGTCCTTCCAGGACCTGAAGAAGCCAACGAAGAAGATGCAGAGAGACTTTGGACAAGGGATGGAGGGACAGGACACAGGGAATGGCTCCCACTGCCAGAGGGCAGGGATGG